CTCATATCAATTAATGATATGATTAAATTATAATTAATATATAAATTAAAAATAATTTGATTTTATAAAATTGAATAAGGCCGTAGTCATTTTTTTTAAGAAACTTGAGCATACAAGTATTTATTATTATTATTATTATTATATATTAGCATCAGCGTGGAAATTATCTTTTTTGCAGAGTGGAGGTAATTTTGGGAGAGGTAAAACGAAATAGGGACATAAATGAAAACAAAGATGGGACATAAAGATGCGGCGCCCCATTTTATTCCCTTTGGGTTTGGGCTTTTCATTATCGATTTGGATTTTCTCTTCTCTTTCTTGAAAGTAGAAAAACCTATATGATAACGCATAAACGGATTAACTAATTTACCCTCATCATTTGTTTAACACCCATCACTCATTGTAAATTATTAAACATTTGCTTCTCTTCAAGGTTGAAACCTTCCACGTGTCTTGTACTACAGAGGATTTATATTATAATTAATCAGATTAAGATGTAGGATACCCTGACCCTGCTATATATATCTTAAATGGAAATGTCATTTATGTTCCTACAAATTCCAGGTTAGGGTCTTGATTAAGTCAAATGTAAGCCCCATCCTTTCCTTACGGTAGGACTTTATTGTTTCAACGGGGTCCATCACCTTTCTTTGGACAAATATTGGTGGGAAAGTTTGGTTACCAGCTCCTTTTTCTGACCAATGAAACTAATAATATCCCTTGACCCAGTATTAATTGATATATATATTACCAAGCCTAATGAAACAAATAAAGATAGAAAATAGTATTATCTATTGATTAGGCTTCTATTCTGAGATAGTCTGCTAAGCACATGTAGGATACTTACCAAGTCAAAGATGAGTACATGTTTGATTAGTACATATTTTCTTTAATTTACTTGGTTTGTCAAAAAAGACATGCCGAGAAATTTAAGATACTTTCTTTTTTATTTTATTTATAAATATCATTTCCGAATGAATCGCACGATACATAACAAAATGCAAGTCAAGAAAAAGGTTATTCATTACAGGCATGCTTAGCGATCTGAATTATATATGATTACCAGTCAAGAAATGTAGTCTTAACATACTAACATTTAATATATATAGGAAACATGTAGTATGGAAAGGTCCAAGTAAGAGAACTTTAACCTAAGACCTCATTCCTTAGACGAGTAAAATGTTTCATTTTATGAATGAGAACTATCCAATGTAGACTCACCCCATTATCATCCTGATCAACAAGATTTGATGTATTTTTTCTAGTTCTTGAGCTTTTAATTGAAAAAACAAATGATCATAGTGTTTCGTACAAATAAAAAATGAAGGACGGTATATACATCTTATGAACTATTTACGATTTTTTTAAGGGTGGAGTGTGGAATTCTGATAAAATAAAGAATCCATCAATTTTGAATTACATTTTATATTAAGTTTGATTAATCTAGTTCAAGCAATAAACTTTATTGAATAGAAAAATCAAAGTCATTCGAAGGATGAAAGAAATATGTGGGAATGTGTAGAGACAACAAGTTAGTGGGGTTTTCCTTTTATCAACGTGTAATTATTTTATTTAAACTAGCAAACAAAAATTCTCTCGAAGTTCCAAGTGTAAGTTAAAGAATCCTACCTAATTCCAAACTTATATAGTTGATTAATGTGATCATACGATTTAACTTTGAAATCATTGATAAACTTCAATTTAACTCCACCGATTTGTCATTTCACACACCTGCTAGTATTGTTTGGACATAACACTTGTCAATAATTTTGGCAAGTATTCCTCACTCAACTGCTGAAATTGTCAAACAAGACAAAGATGTACAAATTTATAATAAATATATTAAGATTTATAATTATTATTAAATTTAAATCATGATCTTTTTTATCTTGTGAATTGTAATATTTTTTATGATTTTGTATTTAAAATATTTATAAAATTATTTTAAGTTCTATTGTTGGTATTAAGTATGTAGCTTTGTTGTAATGGTATTGTTATTTGTAATTTTATCTTATTCTTGACTCTTACATCAAAATGCAAGTAACAAAGCTTTATGCTCTATTATATGATTTGAACAACTCATGTCAAGATATCAAGATTTAGAGTTATCACCATCAGAATTTCTAGTTACCATTAATAACACTTGATTAGAATTTGACTTTTCGTCTTGAGCAATATATGCTTCACTATAAGAATTTTCCTTTCCTCCTTTCACTTTTGCCTTCTTTTGCAAGATGGTCCCAATTTAGGTAATCGTAACACTGAATTTTCTTCTTATCAAAATCTTCTTTTCCCAATAACTTTGAGATGGACCACCTTGTTGTCTGTTTGAAGACTTGACTTTATCATGTTTAGTCTAACATGCATTGATCTCGTCTATGTGATGAATCACCAACTCCACTACTCTTGCCACCTTTTCACTTGCCTTTTGCCTTTCTTGTTTCAACCACTTGCACCTTTCTTCTTGTAGTTGGTTTGAGCTAAGCAAGATTTGTTCTTGAATAATTTCATCATTCTTCCTCTCATTTAGCCTCTATTCACTTCATCGTCTTAAGATCTTTGGATTCCTGGATTTTGATCAAAGCAAGGAGTCAAAGTTCTTAGCACCTTGTCTACAATCTATTAAACTACAAACTTCGCATTACAAGATTTCATCGAATTAACGAGGGACTGAGTTTGATTGAAATAATCAGCTATGGATTCCTGGTCATTCATAGACAACCATTTATATTGCCTTCAAATATATTAAAGCTTCATCTTTGTCACTTTACTCCATAAGCTTTATGCAAAATATTCCAAGCATCTTTTATCAAACTAGTTGAACAAATTTTCTCAAAATTTACAAAATTCACTCATTGATGGATCAAGAAAAAAGTTCACTCATAACAGACAATAGAGGGTGAAATTGAATAGAGAAAAACTTTATTCTCACACTTGTGTATTATAATTAATGAATAGTAATATAAATATGCATTTATAGAATACATTAATGAATGATACAAACATATAACACTAATAGATTAAAGTATATAGATGATATCAATAGACTATACCATCAAACTATATGTATAAATAAAAAATAGTCACAATCATCATTAATGTCTTTAAATGATGATACATTTTTTCTTAAAAAACTTAAATTTTGTTAGATTAAAATTAATTTAAAATTTGAAAAATAAAATATAGCGTATGTTTGGGCCAGTATTTGTAGAATTAATTTTGAAATGAAATGATTTGTTTTTAAATATTTTTTATTCTAAAAGTATCTTAATAGTAAAAATTTGTAATTTTTTTTTTCTAACTCTAAAACTACCTAGAGTTATTTTCAACCCAAACAATTTTGGATCTAAAATTAATTTGCCAACGTGAGACTAAACATATAAATATTTATTTAAAATTATTATATTCAGCATTAATTGAGATAATGAAACGTAAATTGAAACAGACGGTAAATAAAATAAAATCACATTTTGAAGATAAATTTCACTTAAATCTCTGACGACAATTTAACCTATTGGAGGAACATCGGAACATAGCAGTACAAACAAAATAGCTATAGGATATACTGTACAACTCAGCCCACGTGTGAGGAAAAAACAGAAAAGATAATGGTTAAGTTCTTCTCTTCTGCATCTCCAAAAATAAAATTACTGTAAAAGTGTCTTGTTTATGCCTAGTACACAGGGTCAGATAGCCCAGACTCACACCACCCATCTCTCTCTCTCTCTATAAATAAATTGGATCTTATGTTGGCATTATATTTTAAATGAGACTTCAAAATCATCATATTTAGAAGCAAGTTTTAAGGTATATTTCACAAGATATTTAAAAAAAATTATAACTTCAATTGACTAATGTATTAGTTAGCTATAAACTTATTTTAAAGTTTTCTAATTCATTTTCATAATTTAATTAAAGTAGTTTATAATTTTTAAATTTTTTTTATCTTTATTAATTTATTTCAAATTTTTTATACTTTTTAATTTAGAAATTACTTTGACATCTGATTTTTCACTCTCATTATCAAATAAATAAATAAATATGTTATTTTACATTAATCAACTAACTTATTATCTAACTTACTAAATACTTTCAATTAAATTAGTTAATAAGTTTTTAATTTTTTCAACTTCTAGCTAATTTTTAAGTTTTTAACCAACTTATAAGTTAGTTTTATCAAATATATCTTATTGATTGGTTTTAATAAAAGAAGTTTTTAAAAGGTTTAAGGAGTATTTAGCCTTAAAATTAGTAGGTGTTTAGATTCATTTGTTTTAAAATAAGTTTTTAATCATAATCTTTTTAATATTTTAAAATCAAGTATGTTTTGAAATTACTAATAGTAATATGCACTAATGCTAAAAATTACTCGTTTTCTCTTATTCCATAATCAAATTAAGTATTATTAACTTGTAAAAGAGTAATACATATTTGAAAGTATTGAGAGAATTAAATACTTTAGTATATGTTTTATATCAGAACTACCATAATAATATGTTTGATTATAAAATTTTGTACATTCTATTCCATTACAGTTGTTCAGCATCATGGTGATGAGTAATAAATTTGAGATACGATGTAAATGCAGTTGTCATAAAGATATGAATAAATCCTACCAATAGACTCCTCCTGAATTCATTGCAACTCTAGAATATTTGGGGAGACTTGTACCCCCTTCAATTTTCTAGTTTTCCAAAATTCGTTTTGAAAAGGGAGAAAAAGAAATATGATTCGAGTATAATTGGTGTTGTTATGTTAATTGTGATGTCCATCTCTTGATTCTTGTTATTATTATTGTAAATTGGATGGTTGGAAAAGGGGTAACTGTTTTCCACAGTGACTAAGGTCACTTTCATAAAATTTATTGATATATTTTAATTGGTGAATAGAAAAAGCAAAGTAATAGACGTGTCTGAGATACTGGCTTATTGTTCCCGCTTTTACTGCTCATTTTTGCTTCCCGGCACTACTAGTGTGTACCCTTTTTATGTGCCACCAAATTCAATACCAAAATACTATCATTTTCCCTTTTATGTGCATTTCTTCACACAATACTCAACAGTGACTTGGACTAGTTCTTATAAAAGACCTTCCACCTCCACCCAAAACACTCCTAACTCTCTCTCTTGCTTCCCTTCCCTTCCCTTCATTTCCCTTTCCTCTTTCATAAAACTTATATAAATTGTGATATTGGGAGTTGGAACTTTAGAGCATGGACAACCAGCGTAGCCCTCTTTTAACTTGGGCTTACTACTTCCAGGGAAAGGTCTCTAATTTCCTCTGCCCTTCAACTGTTTGCATTAAGTACACGCATTGATTCTTTGTTATTCATTAATTGCATGTTTTAGCCACAAAACCCTGTAATGGGGGCTCATAAAGGTTTGAATTTGAGAATCAGCACTAATTTTTTCATCGTTTTGTTGTTTGATTTAATTGGTACATACAGTCAATGGAGGAGCTGAGGCAGTCTCTCATATATACAACTCTGGAGCTAGAACAAACAAGAGCTGCAGTGCAAGATGAGCTCAGAAAGAGGGATGACCAACTACTCAACCTAAAGGACCTACTCAGCAAAACCATGAGAGAGAGAGATGAAGCACAAGAGAAATGCCAGAGATTTCTCTTGGAGAAGCTAGTTTTCCAACAACAACAACAACAAGTAGCAGCAGCTCCTGTGTCTGGAATTTCTAGCATTGAGGATGAGCCAAGAAGAGGAATTGACTCAAACAACGGCCTCTCATCATCAGATTGTGAAGAGAGCATTGTTTCCTCTCCAGTCATTGATCATTTGCCTCAACCTCAACCTCAGCCCCAATTGCCACAAGTCACACAATCCATGATTGAACTAACACCGGACAAGCCCTTACCAGAAAAGGGTAAGCTCCTACAAGCAGTGATGAAAGCTGGCCCTCTCCTGCAGACCCTCCTCCTAGCTGGACCTCTTCCTCAATGGAGACACCCTCCACCACCACTTGAGTCCTTTGAGATTCCCCCTGTCACCATACCTTCACCACCACCACAACCACAACTTCTCCACCAAGATTCCTTTGTTAACGGTAGCAGCACCACAACCAACTGTGGAAGAGTTAGCAGAAAAAGGGTCTTCTCTGATGGCTCGGGTTCTCCTACTGAAACCAAGTACCAGAGGCTTGTACTTCACTGACTTCTCCCAAGTCAGATATTCACACACTTAGTTTCTAATTTATATATAATATATGTGCAAGTTCTTAGGATTAGAGGGTAAGACTAAGTAACAAGCTGGTATGTGACTGATCTAGCTTATGTACAGTGGTTGTTCACTTGTTCTAGGACACAACACAACACAAGGTATCCGGATTTAACTCATTGAGAGAGAAGATGGTGAAGACTGAAGAAGAAGAAAAACTTGCTTGGTTTAGGCTTTTGGTGAAGAATTTGTCCTTGGCATTTTCCACTCTTTACATTCTACTTTTGGTTCCTTGAAAGGAGCCTTGATTTCTCTGGAATTATGTAACAAATATACTGTAGTTCAGCAAGCATGTAGTTTGAGTGTGTGTGTGGGTGTGAAGTGAGATTGATTGATCTCTATAAGATCACATCAACAATTAAGAGAATGGGTGTGGAGTGGGTGGATTGGAGATGAGTGTGACCAAAGGGAAGGTCTTTGAGTTCTGCTTGTCGGGTTTGGTGGACCCAAAAATTAGGAACACAGGATCTGTTACTGGTGTGGTCTATGATTATGTTAAGCCTTTGTTAGAGATGTTATCATTATGCGGGTCTAATCTCGTGCTTTTCTAAAAAATATTTCTACCTCTTTTTATATTACCATTTCATCTAAGTCCGTGTTTGGCATCTGCTCCCACTCAACTAATTTTAACTTGCATACTAATTCTATAATCTTAATGTGAGCTCGCAAATAGAAGAGCAGATAATGTTGACTAGTATCATGTTCAATGAAAGCATGACAATTGAGGGCGAAAAGAGAGAGATTCTGCAGACAAGCGTAACATGTTTGCATTATGGTATAAAAAAGAAGTTGGATTATATTGTGCAGAAAAGAAAAGGTTAACTTATGTAGTCTTTCTTATTTATGCAGCAGGTTTCTTGTCCCTCGCTTTCTTCCTATGCCACATCCTCCTCTAGTACATTTTTTTCTAAAAAGAGAAATGATAGTTATATTTTAATTCTGTACAACAATTTAAAAAAAAAAAAAAAGAATAATGATACGAGGAAAAGAGAGAAAAGTATACGAATATAAAATAGATTATGTGATAGAAAAATTAAAACAATATTGCAGAAAATGTTATAAAAATAGTTTGTATGCTCTTTCTAGAAAAAAAATAATAAAAGACAAACTCTTGTTACTGTAACTTTCTTGGTCACATTGTTGAAAAGACCTTGGCATGGAATTGTGCTTGGGCTGTTTTGTTTTAGTCACTGTTGCCTGCCTATGAAATGGATCTCACATTAGTTGTTTGTTTGACAATTTTGAAAAGTCTAAAGTACAAAATTATTTTATTTTATCGTTTGAACAAAACTAATTCTATTAAATTTGTTCGTAAAATATATTTTTAAATATTAGCTTTTAACATTAGTTACTTTAAAATCAAATTTATCAAAACATAAGTTATTATTAAGCACATAAATTAGTTGGCGAGAACTATTCTAAGTTAATTAGGAATCCCAAGGTCAAGTATTCAGAAATGCAGTTACATTAAGCATTTTAAAAATAAATTTTACTCCCTATAATGGTTCTACTTTGTCAAGCTTGAATGTTTCGACGAGTGCTAGTATTTATATACTGGCCGTTATAGGTAAATAATTAAAAAAAAGGATTTTTGGTGTAAAAACAGAGATTTTACTGACTTTCTTTTTCATAATTTGGTTGATTTGATTATAATGCAATTATACAACTGATAGGATCTAACTTAATTGGCTGAATAGGATGTATGAGTTATTATAAATCTTATGATTCTGAGTTTGATTCCTATATATATATATATAACAAATACAACTATACAATGATGTAAAAACTTATGAGTTCACACAACTAGTTGTGGTTTCTTTTATCTAATTTTCTTTCTTTTACATTATCCTTTAGACTCATAATTATTCTTCTCAGGTCAGTGTGTAACTACTAGTGCATCTAACAAACACTACTCAAAAGCTTATAGTCTCATCTTATACAAATGTGCAATGCCACGGTGATATAGTCAATGAAAAGGGGAGAAAAAATGACACGGATAATCCTCTACATTGGAGACAGATAGATGTAACGAATGTAAGGCTTTGCTCCTACATAGTTTAGTTCATATAACAATTTAGTTTGAATTTTCTGAGTACAGTTCTGTGAAAGAAAAAAATGGTTCAGTTGAATTAAGTATAATTTTATTTTGCCACTCCTAATTGGTCGAATTGAAGAGGAGAAAAACATTGTTACAGCTAGCAATGCTTTTAAACATTGAATCAATGCATGGCTGCGAATGATGGAAAACGCGCTAAGCCACATTCTGGACAGTGAAGTAGGGCGCAAATGGCGCCACTCATGCTTCACAAAACAACACAACACTTTCCAACTTTGGTCAATCTATGTGCCAGACAAATACAACTAACTTGGACCTAAAGTTGACATTACCTACGATATTTCACTTCACCAAGCCCACATCCGTATACAGGCCCAATTTAATGCCTTATTTCACCAACAGGCCCAGCCAAACAGTTTACGTTCAAGATCAAGGAGAAACACAAATTTAGTTTATTTAAGTAAAATCATATAACATGTCAACAGCAGAACGAAAACCCATTTCAAGACCATAAGTGGAGTGCATAATTATTATAAATTTCTTCCTACCATGTTCAATTTTTATTAAAAAAAAAACAATTTGAAGTGAAAATAATAAATTTATTTGTGTGTATGAAAAAACAGAGAGAGAAGAGGAATAGAAAGGAGTGAAGTGTAGGGTGGGTTATTCCACGAAACGCGGAGGCTTAGAAATTAGGCAGAGTTGCACCTTTTATTTGAAGTGTGTCAATCACTCTCATTCAATTCTTCTTTTATTTGAAGTGGACATAATTATATTCAACTCCTCTTCTGACTTCTGAGTCAGCTCTATGGGGACATTATATATGAACTTCCTTTCATATTTAAACTTGTTATAATGAGTTAATCACACCTGCAATAAGCAAACAAATATGTAACTGAAAAATTAAATAAATATATTATAAAGCAAATTAAATGAGGAGGGGAAATAAGACTTTTATTTATTTATTTATTTATTTATTTATTTCAAACTTAAAAATCTTGTACAAGCATATTAATTACTATTAGGTAGTGTTCTCCTTCAATCAGTATAATTGATTAATTTATTCTCTAACATTATTAAATCAATTCATTCAAATCTTGAATTTGAAAGCCGTTAATCAATTCAATCCCCAACATCAGAAACTAAATTACTTAATACACACTAGAGTTAAGAATCAAATTAATTAATATTTATCTAAGTTAAAAACTAAATTGACTTATGCGTATTAAAGTCATGAATGTTAACGAAAAAAAATAAAGGTTATTTTATTTTTTATAATATTAAAATTCAAATTAATAGATAATATTAATATTAAAGAGCACATTACTGTCTTATTTGTTGTTGTTTAATGTTTAGCAATGCTTTTAGAAAGGCCGCTTAACCATGTTACAAGGATACCTTCAGAAATAGTTCTAGGCCCAGCCCACATGCTCTCTTCCAAACTACGAAATTAAAGCACTATTAATATGATATAATTTAATATAATTAATGTAAATCTTGATTAACTTGTAATTTGTGCTTTTTTAACATTGAGTGTCTGGCTCGTTTTTTGCTGATAAAAAAAAACTTAAATGGATAATCTGTCGATAGAATCTAAAGCTAACCAGAAAGAAAAATTAGTAATAGAAGGAGCATAATGATATACACTTGGGCCTTTGGCCCTTCTCAATACAAGAAAAAGATATGGAACATATACATGGATCATACAAACTTTTGATTTGTTATACAATTAGTTTTTTATTTTATTTTATGGATGTTTCTTCTATCGGTTTGATCTCTATTTATAGGAAAATAAATATACAAGATATCCCTCAAGGTTCCTAGTTACAGAGTTGTTTATCTAAAATTATAAATAAATCGCATATGTTTAATTTTTTACTACTTCAAATAATTACCGTCTAACTCGATTTAATTTAACATTCGCTATCTTTATTATTCCAAATCTTCAAAATTTACCCTTCAAAACATATTTTTGACATTTTTTTTCTTATTTATTTATTTTTGTAAATGCGGGATAAACTTTTCCCCCAAATCCACAAAATGATCCCATGGAAAAGTAGAAGGTATCATATTTTATTTGCTTCTCAACAAAAACAAATGCAAGATTTTTATTTTCTTGGATGTTGAGGTAGATTTTTATTTTAACTCAGTTTTATGGTAGATTATATTACGTTCTTTTTTTTTTTTTAACTCCTTCAACATCATATAAATTTCAAACCTTATTAGATAGTCATTGTTGTAAGTTTCTATTATATAATAAAGAAATATATTAAAGGGAGATTAAATAATAATAATAAAAAAATTCAACATTTTTTTTTGAAACAGTAAAATTGTATCAAGTCTTTACAAATGTACACAAACAGTTAAGTACAAAAAATATACAATATTTTTATATTATTTTATTTCAATTATCAAAACTACGTTCTTAATTAACTTGATTAAATTTTATTATTTTTTTGCAAATATATAGGTATTATTTCACAAGCTATTTCTGACTCAACTTAAGTGTTCTTTGAGTTATTTCTTGAAGTAATTATTCAAATATTCTTTGAACATAGAACCTCTTTAGACTTTAAAACCAAATATTATTTTTATAGATAACCTCTTGAGGCTCAAAACAATAACACAAAATTAAAATTGGGAAATTACTATGTTATTTCGTCTTACTATTAATATGTGATACAACCAATTAAATATAGAACTTTTTACATAAAGAATGTATTGAATTTTACAAATGATATGATTGTACACAAGTCTCCATGTTCTTTTTGAATTTTCAAGTTTTTTTTATATAAATGTTTTGTGAAGATGACCATTACAAATATTTGAGTATCTCTCACAAATATGCTTGGTTTGTTTTCAACTTTGTTTCTTGTGGAAGAAAGTGATCATTGATGCATTAAATATGAACATTAAATGTGTTTCACTAAATTATCACTTTTTATTTAATCAAGGAAGTTACTTACCACCTTTATGCTTTGTTTGGGGGAGGGAAAAGGAAAAGAAGGGAATGAGAGAGAATAGGTAAAAATTTATTTTATAGGAAATATGTAGAAAATAAAATGGAATAGAGTAAAATTTTTAGTTGTTTGGTAGAATAAAATTAAGTGAACACACACACACATTTTAAATCCACTCTAATCATTCCTCCTCCATGTTAAATCACTTCCACCAAACAAAGGGTTAAGGCACCAAAAGAGAGAAACATATGCATGTGTTAGTCGGAAACAACTTTTGCGTGGTTTGAGGGATTTACTTGTCTTTTATCTTATGCAAAATATGTTTTGTGTTTCTTTTTAAAATTTAAATATTGAAAAAAAAACTTTTATTCCTTTCAATCTATTAACGAATCACATAGATAAAAATGATTTGGTTGTTAAACATTATCAATAATATATATAATAAATGTTTTTGTCTTATAGATGAAATGATTTATCTAAAATATTTAAAGTAAAAAACAAATAATTGTTTTATCCTTATAATATGAATTGAAAAAAAAATTCTCTTAAAAAATATATGAATTGATT